ACAGTTATTTTTGTTTCTGTTTGCATGCAAAATGGGTAATGATGTTATCTGCTGACTTTCTTACACTGTCATTAAGACTTGATCTCTGCTGACACTCTTATCATGATGTAGTAAAACCATATCATAATAGAACCCAAAGGGCCAAGTTTTACTTACTTTTGCATGTGTTAAATTTGTCAGTGGTAACATCAGTAAACAGTATAGCCAACAGAAATATTGATTCACATACAGGTGAATGTCTGTATGTCTCCCTGTCTAGTTTAGAGTATTTCTAATCCCTTTCTTCATACTATTGTGATTATTAGAGTTTCAGTGCAGAGCTGCATTCATGGCCCTGAATGAGTGCTTAAAGGTTAGAAAGGGAAAGAAGCATCACCAAGACCAAGTATTCACTGTTCTTGAGGTATGTATTATTGCAATGTGAAACTATGGATCTTAAAGAAAACAAGTAGAAAAATTATCGCAATTGTGCATGAATATATTTGTCAAATGTTTTATTTCTGTTAAACCCCATCGCTTTCTTAAGTTTTTTTTGCTGTATCTGAATATATTTCTACCTTTGATCTTTCAGCGAGAAAACCCCATTGATGAGGAGATAAGACGTTATGTACAGCTTCAAGTAGTTGCTGTAGGTGAGTTGTTCGACATGGACAATCTGTACATAGTTTGCGAAGGAATGATTCTTTGTGTAATTCCTCACAAGAGAATCATCGATGCTATCCTGGCATTGCTTGCTTCCTTTTATATTTTTAACATGGAATATAAAGAAGGAAGCAACATTCTGTCTTTCCTGGAGCAAGCTTTGCTAGGAATTAGCAGAGGAAAGCCCCGGATTACTGTTAGTGCATTTTTTAATTCATTAACAAGTGCATGATTAGTATAGGAAATCCCATGATCTCAAGTACAATTTGGAAATTAATAGACACTCGTAATGTTTTGAAAACATTACGAGTGTTTATTAATTCCAAATTGTACGAGAAGATCGTGCGATTTTTTGTTTATAGTTCACTCAACAAAATTTTAGTAGAAAATGCGAATTGACGCCGTTCATCTTTGTCTATTTGGCGGACGATTTTCAGTCCATCGCGCAACTGAAATRCATAAAAAATATTAGTTCTTAAGGCTTTAAAAAATTTTAAATATGTTTTTAAGTACAAAATGATAGAAATTAAATGTTYTGACATTGTTTTGGCTGTGTTGCCATAGCGACTTAACGCTATAATTGTACTCCTCTCGACCAATCAGAGTCGAGTAATTTTGTTGAGTGTACTATAATATGGCTAATAGATCATTTCAGCATTGTCCTTTGTACAATATGGCATTAGAATGAAATTCCTTGGGCAAGCCCTCAAGCAGTGCACATTAGGTCTGAATACGGGTGCAAGTTTGTTTTTTT